TTCTGCATACAGGTTGAAAAGGTATAAAGACAGGACACATCCCTGGCATACGACCTTCCCAATTTTGAACCATGCAGTGTTTCCTTGCTATGTTCTGACAACTGCCTCTTGGTCCAAGTATAGGTTTTGCATTAGCATGATCAAGTGTTCTGGGATTAGCATTCTTCTCAGAGTCAGCCACAGTTTGTTATGACCCACGTAGTCAAATGCCTTTGCATAATCAATGAAACACAGACATTCCTGTGGTATTCCCTGCTTTCAGCTAAGATCGATCTAACATTACAATGTCTGCTCATCCCCTTATTGTAGATTGCCTTTCCCTTCACTCAATAAATGTCAAGTTTTATTCCTTTCTATCCCTCCTTCCAATTGCTGCTAACCAACCAAGAATGGTTGTACTGTGTAAACCTATCCTTAGCTTTAAAAAATAGTGGTGTTGTACAATATTTGTCCTTTTGTGAATGATTTATATAACTTCATATATTTTTCTCTAGATTCATCTATGTTATGCAGTATTTTGTGAATTCTTTACTATTCTATAGTGTTGCATTGTACTCTGTTGTGTGAATGTGTCATTTAATCATTCATCTGTTGATGGACATTTGGGTTGTTTCCATCTCTTCGCTATTGTAAATAATGTTGTAATAAATATAGGCATGAATATATATCTGTTCACATCATAATTTTTTTAGTTTTTTAGGCTGTGTACTTTCTTGAATCAAGTATCACTCCCATTTTCACCTTTTCAGCAAGTTCCAAACTGCTTTCCATGATGCTTACAACCCCACCGGAGAGTTCCAGTTTCTCCACCACTTTTCCAGTGTTTTTTTATTTGTTGTTTGCTGTCCTATTTGACTTTGCTATTGTTGTGGGGGTGAGATAATATCCCCAAAGTCCAATTTACCCTCTGCTGAGTGTGCATTTTCTTTAATATTTGACAACACAAGAGAGGAAGACCCTCTATGAGGTGGATTGGTTCAGTGACTGGAGTAATGGGGGTAGGTGTGTTGGAGACAGTGAGACTGGCACAGGACAGAACAGGGTTTAGGGCTGTTGTAGATAGGGTTGCTATGAGTTGCAGGCGACTCGACGGCACATAACAACAACAACCACAGTGCATTTTTGCCATGTTGTTGTTGTTGTTAGGTGCCATTGAGTTGACTATGAATCATAGTGATTCCATGAACAACAGATCTGAACCTTGTTGCATCCTGCACCAAACCAACCCAAAACACCAGGACTCATTGCCATCAACTCAGAATTGACCGATAGCTGACCCTCCAGTGAATTTTCAGAGAAGATAAACCACATGGGAGGAGATTGCTCATCTTTCTTCCTCGGTGCAGCAGGTGAATTCAAACCGCCTGGTTTTCAGTTGGCAGTACAACTCCTTATCCATTGGGCCAAAATGAGCATTCCTCATGACAAGGGATATTGTTGTTATGCATTGCTGAGTCAGAAACAACACATAACTGACCCTCTGGGCAGGTTTCAGAGGCTGTAATTTGTGCGGGGGAAATTGCCCATCTTTCTCCCATGGAGCAGCTGGTCTGCCTGTCTTTGGCTTGGCAGCTCAAAAGGGCAAGTTTCAATGCTCTGCTGGAGTAGGAGGGCCAGTCTCCTCCTGTACCAGTCAGATCTGATTTGACGGTACACACATAAAAATAATAAAATGAAATAAAAGAAATTTTAAGAAACAAGTGTAAGGTTCAAACCTACTGTTCACAGGGTTACTGAGTTGTAGTAGACTAGATGGCACCTGACAACAATACAGCAAAAATAACCGCCTTCAAAGTCTGAGTGAGTGACGTCTCAGCATACAGGCAGGCATGGAAGAGGTTCTGGTCTCTATGGCCCTGGACCAGTTTCATGATGGAGCAAGTCAGGTCCCTTTGATTCTCAATCTGAAAGTGAACTTTGCCCAAAGCTCTCTAAACTTGGTCATTGTCATCATCGTTGAGTGCCCTTCAAGAAGATTTCCAAGTCCCAGACACCCTACAGAGCTGCCCCATGGGATTTTTAGGCTCTGATTTTTATGGGAGAGGAAGGAAGGCCGTGGCTTTATCTATGGTGAATTTGAACCACAGACTCTTTGGTTAGCAGCCAAGTGGTTCTCTGTAAGTTCAACCTGCTTCAAAATTCCAAATCTTTCAGGTCTGCCTCAAACAAGACAAATGTTTTCTATTTTGACAAGCCCATCCTCATCTAGCCAGGAAAGTCCCCCGACTCCTTTCCACAGAGATCATAGTAGCAATCACCTAGATCTGGGTATTGCTCCAGTTATAGGTCCTTAGTCAAACACTCAGGGACCTCTGGTGGTCTAGACGTAAGAAACTGAGCTGCATCCCCTAAGGCAGGAGTTCGAATTCACCAGCTGCTCCAAAGAAGCAGGACGGGCAATCTCCGGTGCGATTAACAGCCTCTGACAACCAGCTGGAGAGTCAGGTAGGGGTCAGTTCCAACTCAATGGTACACAACAACTTAAACATCCAGGGTAGAGTGGTCAGTGTGTGTGTGTGTGTGTGAACCCTTCCCAAGGCCTGCTGACGATGATGGAGGTCTCAATAAGCCAAAACATTGGATTTAGGAGCTTAATTCTAAGAAGCAGCAACTACTGAACCACGTTCCCTCTCAGAAAGGGCATGTTTCAAACCAGAGGCCGAGAGAAGGTCAGGTCAGCTTTCCAGAACTCCTCCAAGGGACACAAGAGCCAACTGCTCCAGTGGCTGAAAAGTTGTGGCAGGACGCGAGTTCCTCTGCCTCTCTTTCCTCCCTAGGAGGCTCCCGGTCCCTGATACGGCCCTGCTGGGCTTGTCCATCTGGTTCCATAGATTTCCCTGCTTGGTGTGACCATAGCCTCTAGGGCTGAGCACTCCGGGGCGAGACATCTGTCCCGGGAGGAAGAACGAAGCAGGCCCACTTTTCCTCAAGGGCAGAACCGAGAGCTAGAGACAGACCAAGAGTCCACTTTGCTGAGCCAACAGGCGGCTGGAGCCATACGAAGCGCATTAACTATTAATAATTTCCAGTTGTTCGTTTGCAGGGTTCGCCCGGCTCCCCTGTCCCCTGCAGGCGGGGTTTCTGGTCTGGCTCCACCGAGAGGCAGGTCTGGACATATTAGAGCCTCTCGGGCGCCGCTGGGACAGAGAGAGGAGACCCGCACCCAGGGACCCTGGGGCAAGCCGGGGGCCCGGCGTCCACCTGCAAGCGGGGAAGGGAGGCCGGGCAGGGTGCCTTTCCCGCCCGAGGCGAGGCCCGCCCTCTCCGCCGCGCGCTCCAATCAGCCGCTCAGGGGCGGGCTCGGGCCGGGCGGAGCGCAGTTCGGGCGGCGCACGTCGGGAGCGCAGCGGCCCCTGGCGCGGGGCCGGGCGGCGCGGCCAGTGCGGGCGGGCGGGGCGAGGGCGAGGCCGGGAGCGGGCGGCCAGTGAGACCGGACGACGCGCGGGCGGCCGGGCAGGCAGGCGGCGGGGCGGGCAGCGGCCCCGGCCCGTGTCTGCGCCCCTCGCTGGCCCACGGCCCCACGTCGGGTTCTCAGTCCCGGCACGCGCGCAGCCATGGTGGGCCGGCTGAGCCTGCAGGATGTGCCTGAGCTTGTGGATACCAAGAAGAAGGGAGAAGGCGTCCTGGACAGCCCGGACTCGGGGCTGCCCCCTAGTCCCAGCCACTGGGGGCTCGCGGCGGCCGGGGGAGGCAGCAGCGGCGGGGAGCGCACGCCTGCCCCTGGGGTGCTGGAACCCGATGCCGCCGCGACCCCTGCGGTCCAGGTGAGAGACTCGCGTCGATCCCTGTACCCCCGAGTCGACTCTGGGGACACGTCGGTCCAGCAGCCTCTAGAGTCGACTCTGGGGACACGTCGGTCCAGCAGCCTCTTGGAGTTTGCGCGGTCGACTCCGCCACCCGCCCATCGGGACGGCTTGGCCATCGCCGGGAGCCCGGGGCGGGAGCGCAGCGAGAGCTCGGCCAGCTGGAGCCGGTGGCTGGAAAATTGTCATCGCCTCGGAGGCGCGGGAGCCCCGGGAGAGGCGAGCCGCCGCCTCCTTCTTATGGGGTGACGGCCCCCGGCGCTGCCAGGCTGTGGCTCGGCCGCATTCCTGCCCTCGGGGCGGGTGGGGCCACTGGGACACGGAGAGGGAACTCCAGTCCTTTCCCGACGGTGCCGCAGAGCAGGCACCCTGGACGCTTTGCCGCCTCCTGCGCAGAGAGAGGGTTACGGGCCAGTCTGTAGGATCCGCCTTAGTTGTCTTGGGAAAGAATTTTGGAGAGGGGTCGCTTCCAGTCTCCTAGTGGCTTCCCTTGTCCTGAAAACCTAACCCGAAGTCCTGCACATAGTAGGTGGAGGCCCTTTGGTTAGAGCGAACCTTTAAAAAAATATTAAGCATTTCATTTTATTTTTAAAATTTTACTTTAAACAAGCAGAAACCACCAAACTCCATCAAGTCTGTTTTGCCTAAGAAATAGCTGAGTGTTTATTGCCTTTACCTGGATCTCAGGGGAAGCCACATCCTGCCTGCACTCAACCCGGGACCTCCACCCTCTTCCCCTCTGGGACGTGTTTGCAGCCTTTCACCCTCAGCCAAGCAGTCAGTGAGGGCTACTGTTCTCAGGGAACCACAGTGACCCTTTGATGTTAGTCCAGTTCTTGACCCACTGACCTTTATCTCTCTGAGCTTCCCCCGCTTTCCCCAGTTGGTGCCTCCCAGCTTTCAAGGCTGTTCTGCTTGGCATGCCTCTTCCAACACCCAGTCAGCTTTTCTACCTGTCAGAACCCCCTGGTCTTCAATGCCCAATTTGTCACTTCCTCTAGAAAGCCTGCCTTCATGCTTCAAGCCTTGTTGGAGTCGGTGGCTGTCTCCATTTTCCAGTGGCATCTCATTCCTTTTCCCGCCATAATCCTTGGTGCCCAGTGCTCTCTCAGCTGTCAAATTCTGCCCTTCCCTTCCTGCCTGCACCTGGCATAAGGTGGGTGTTAAGGGCATGACCATTGAGGGAACAGATAAAGGAGGTTAGGAGAACCGAGTGCCTGTGTGGATGCCAAGAAAGTGGCAGTTGTACTGCTGTTGGACAAAGAGTGACCTACTCGCACATGGTGACTCTGCCATCTTGCAGCCCCCAAGGCTTGGCCTGAAGTTGGGGAGTATGTGGCAGCCAGAGCACTCAGGGCAGAGTAAGAGATGTCTCTATTTGAAGGCTGTCTCCAGATGTGCCGCAGTAGCCAGCGGCCAGCCCCTTACCTGCCCATCTGCTGACCTTGGTCTTTAACCGCAGTCCTTCTCTCAGCTCAGGTGTGCTAACTTGTCACCCAGTTCCAGAAACTAGCCCCTCAACATCTCTGTCTTCCTGTCCTACTGGCCCCCTTCACTTTTGTGTTTCTACCCTCTATACACACTTTGTCCAAGTAATATAAGAGTGTCAGAGCCAGCCTTCTAGAGAGTCTCTCTCCTCCTCTGTCCTAGAAGTCACAGAGGTGAGACTGCCACCGCCGCACTCTGGCTCACATGTGGATCGTTGTCTCCAGTTAGGCAAAAAAAAAAAAAAATGACAGCTTCTCAGTGAATGTGGAAACTGAGCTTGAAGGGCCACTGGCTTCCTGCCTGCATTGTGTTAGTCTTTGTTCACGTAACCCATGATTAAGCCCTGATTCCAAGGTCAGTGGCAGGATACCAGCTCCAAGTCCAGGATGTAGCTGTCTTTCGGTACATCTCCTTGATGAGCCGGGACACCCAATGCCAGGACCAAGCTGGAAGACAGTTGGTGCTTCGGGAATGCAGGGCTCTGGGGAACAGTTTTCTGGCTAGTGGAAGGTGTCCTAGAGAACATTTAAATGTCCATTTTGCTGGTGAAATTCAGTGGGTTTTCAGACTTCCATATCATGAGTGGTAACTCGTCTGGGAAAGGGACAGGACAGCATTCCGGACTCATACTGGGAGGAGCAGAACTAAATCTTCAATTAAAAAAAAAAATATCTTGAACAGTAATTTTTTGTTTTAGACTTTTCTAAAGTATTAACTGAGACAGTGACAGGAGGGGTGTCACATCATTGAGAGTTCTGGTTTGTTGGTCTCTGCCACCCAGTCAGCAAACCTCTTGCAGAGCGAGATCTGCCTACTGTGATCCGTGAGTTTTCTGTGGCTGATTTTCAGAAGTAAGTTGCCAGGCCTTTCTTCCTGGTCCATCTTAGTCTGAAAGGTCTGCTAAAACATATATCTGAAAGCATCATACAAGTGTAAGTAACAGATGGGTGATAGCTATGCTCAAATGAATTGACCAGGAATTAAACCCAGGTCTCATGTATGGAAGGTGAGAACTCTACCACTGAACCACCACTGCTCCCACTAGTTAGTCAAACTCAGTTAATCCAGGTTTTACTTTCAGCACTGCTGCTGAACCAAAACCAAATCCACTCACATCAAGGTAATTCCGACTAACCTTCCATTGAGTGTCATCTTTCTCCTGTGGATTGGAACCACCAGCCTTTCCGTTATCGGTGACACGTAACCCACTTTGCCACCGGGGCTCCTGTAACATACGTGTATGATCATAATGGTCAGACCCAGAAATAGAGCCGCAGCTGCAGGATGAGCACAAGTATGTTTGCTCCTTTCATATTAGCAATGCAGTTATGATTACAGATTATATGATGTGACACACCTTGTGCATGATATTCCCGGACCTCAAAACTTTTGGCTCCCTGTCCCGCTTCTGAGGGCTGCCCAAGAGGGGGATACAGATCAGGGTCAAGCCTGTTAGCTGGAGGCTCAGAGCCAGGACCTGGGGGGGGGGGGGGCCGCATCAGATCAGTTGAGGGTCCTAACTGCATTCTCATCTATCCTCACAGGCTCCAGTCTCACTCCCCACCCCCCTGGCCTCTAGCTGTTCCCCAAGGTTATGCCCCCTGTCCTTTGGCGAAGGAGTTGAATTTGATCCCTTACCACCGACGGAAGTAAGGTAAATATAACAGACCCTGATTTTATTTTTATTTATTCCAGAAATTACTACTTGATGTTAAAAAATTGGTTTTAGGAATAATTAGTTTAGGAATAATTAGTTTTAGTAATAACTTGGTGGTTATGCTTTCAGATATTTTTCCCTTTTGCATCCTTAACTAATTAAATAGACAGGTTTTTTAACATAAAAATGAGATACTATACATAAAGTTCTGAAATGCACTTGTTTTCTCTTGACATATTTTGCATTTACATATCGAATATTTAAAATGTATGACACAGTCATTCCAGAAGCTGTTCTCACTCCATCAGCTACACCCTCCGTGCACCTCAAGGTGCTCTTACCTGTTGCAGCTCTGGGGCAGGCAGTGTTCTGCCTTTGGGAGTTGATCTCATTGAGGATTTTTGCCGTTGTGTGCTGTGCAGTGGAGTCCAGCTCCCAGTGACCCGAAGTGGTACGTGGGTGGACTCAGAGATCCACAGGGAGGCTTAGTCAAAGGGATGCTTCTTGAGACAGAGAAATCCCACTTTGTGTAACCGGCAGGTTTATGGCTGGGATTTCAGTTGCAGTAGCACAAAGGGTCCTTTGACGTAGAACAAAGAGAGGGTCACCAATGGAGAGGTAAGCCATTCTGCCTTTTATGTCTATGGAGCTTGTATCATGAGTGAAATGGGGACGTGACTTCATGACATTCACTTCAATCAGATGCAATAGACATTCACATCCACCTCACAAAAAAAGAGTACTGCTTCTTACCCACCTGCCCAGTAGCCAGGGGCCGGTGAGAGGCAGTGTTGTTAGATGGCCTTACACAGGATACCCAAGCATGTAGTGTTACTGCAATAATGATATAGTAAAATACGTTAGTGCTTTGTTTCCATTTAAAAACAAAACTAAAACTTTCCAAATTGCATAATAGAAAAAACCAAAACAAAATACACCTTCAAGACCATGTGCTGTCAGCTCCAGTATGTAGTAACTACCTATGTGTGGTCAAAGAGGGCTGTGTCCGTGGGGTTTACTTTTGGATCTTTGTTCTGAGGTCCCTCTTGGTGGATTCAAACCACCAACCTTTTGGTTGTTAGCTGTGCATCTAATCATTTGCATCTAACCCCAAAACTCTTCAAATTGCTAAATACAGGCTTAAGAAAAGCAGGTAGTGGCTGAGGAAGATGGATGTTAATTTGTTTGGTAAAAACCAAGATTGTAATTTGCTCTGGTTGTTCCAGGAGAATCTCCCTAGATACGAGTCTCCTCGGGATGACCTGCCACTCCATAGACCAAAGTGGGCAAAACCCTGGTTACAGCGGTGGCAGAACTTCCCAGCATTCAGCTTCCTGCTGCCTCAGCCTCCTAACAAAGAACTAACAACCATCCCTTAAAGGGACAGAGAACCTGCCCCCTGCCTGTGAAGTGGTAAAACCTGTCATGTCCTGTATCCTGACTACAGCTCACAGCCCTGGATGGGAACACAGCCTGGTTATTATGGGGATCCCATTACTACGGGACAGAGGAGAAGGAGGCTTTTTGAGAAGTTAATCTAGTCAAGGTCTCATAGCTGAAGTAAATGGAAGGCCTCAGACTCATGCTTGCAATGAGAAACAGGGAGTGCAGGGCTAACCTCCTATAATCTAAATTCAAATCCTAGCTCTGGGAACTAGCACTGCAAACCAGGGGTCGTGAGTAAATGAAATTCAACATCCTCGACTCATTGCTGTGTGTTGGTTCCAATTCACAGCCAACCTCCAGAGGGTTTCTGAGGCTGTGAATCACACAGGAGGAGATTGCTCATTTTTCTCCTGAGACACGCCTGGTGGTGGATCCAAACCACCAGAGAGAAGTGGCCTTTAGATTAGCAGTGTAACTCCCTGTGGACTAAGCCACTGGAGCACCCTGGACTAAATCATTGTTGTTATTGTTTACCACTGAGTCAGAACTGACCCGTAGCTGATTCTCCAGCAGGTTTTCAGAAGCAGTATATCTCATGGGAGGAGATTGCCCCTCTTTCTCCTGTGGAGCAGCTGGTGGATACAAACTGAGTATCTTTGGTTTGGCAGTGCAGTTTCTTAGGACTAAGCCACCAGAGTGCCCTCTAGAATGATATTATCAGATCTGATAAACCATTTAGGATAGTACCTAGCACAGAGTAAGCACTCTGTAAACTTTGGATTGTGTCTCTCTTGAGTAGCCACATCTCAGCATGTGGGTCCACAAAGAAGTTCAAGTTCATGGTGGACTCAAGGTCACCCCCGGCTGCCTTGTGTCTCCGGTGCAGGTACACTTCCTCTGTCAAGTATGACTCAGAGCGGCACTTCATCAACGACATCCACATGCCACTGGGCCTGGCCGTGGCCTCCTGCAGCCAGACGGTCACCTGCGTCCCCAATTGCACATGGCGCAACTACAGGGCTGAGGTACACTTCGAGCCCCGCCACAGGCCCGCACGCTTCCTCAGCACCACCATTGTGTACCCCAAGTACCCCAAGACCGTCTACACCACCACCCTGGATTACAACTGCCGCAAGACGCTGAGGAGGTTTCTGTCCAGTGTGGAGCTGGAAGCCGCCGAGTTCCTGGGCAGCGACTGCCTCTCGGATGAATGCTGACTCGAGCAGGCTTGGCTGAGTTGAACCTGCCCCTCTCTGTCCTGGTCCCCAGACTACCCAGGTCACAGTTGGGTGCTACTGCCCTTCTGTCCTTCCAGCCTTTGAGGAGTCTAGCCTAGAGGTTCCCCTGACTCCAGCATGGGGAAGCGTCCTGATATCATTGCATTTTATCTTTATGAGGAAATCTGTTTTATACATTTTTTTTAAAAAAATTGTTTTTAAGAGGAAGAGATTTGTTGATTTGCTGCTGGAAAATTGCCTCCCTCCCCACACCAGGTCTCAGTCTGGTGGGAAAATGGTAAAAATCGGAAGTAGGGGCTCCCCGTGGATGGCTCCTATCTCTCCTGAGAACAGCAGCCTGTCCTCCACCGTTCTCCATACGCCTGAGGAAGAGCAGGGAAGAAGCCTCTGGGCTGATGGAAAAATTGAGTTTTCAGACATTTCAGCCACGGGAGTCTTCGTTGCTACAAAAGTGGTGCTAATTCAGTAAGTCATGACATCCATATGGGTTCAATCTGTGGATAGCTGAGTTCCATTCTTTTTTTTTCCCCTCCTCCAATTTCCATTTCCATTTGTATTTTCTGTCAACCAAAACTCATGGAATTCTCTAAATCATTTTTAAGCTATGAAAAATAACCCCAAACTGCAATATAAGGTACTGAAAAAAAAAGCAGGAAAGGTTTTCTTGTTCCTGCCTGCTGAGGGAAGTCAGATTAACATGCTGTGGAGCTCGGGAGCCGTGGCTTCGGTTCTGGATCTTTCCGCGGGTCGGTTCTGAGGCACAGGCTTTGGCAAAACGCCTTCCGTCCTTGGCCTGTGGCAAGCGAGAGTCTCTGCAGGCTTGTATAACTCTCCCAATATGTATTTTAGGGTTTCCCAAATACTTTCCTATTTTTCATCAGGCAGAACGCAGCATCAGGCTCTTTGGAGAGAAAATAGCATTTTGAAAGAATGCTTTGAAAAAAAAAAACAAAACCAAAAAACCAACCCAACTCTTGGAATTCCAGGAAAGGAATTCACATTTGACTCACGATGGGAAGTCACGGCCACACTGTAGGGCTCGATGTCACTGGAAGGTGGCTGTCGATGTCTCTGGGGAGCTGGTTCATCATGCTGGCTCTCCCTCCCCAGGGACACTGAATCAACTCACCGTAAGGACTTTGTGTCAGCATTGCAGAGAAATCCCACCAGTGCCTTCAGGCTGGCTCAGAATTCAAGGAGGATGCCACTCAGATGACGCAAAAAGTTAAGTTCAGAATAGGGGACCATGTCACGATTGGAACTCCAAAACCTGGACATGGCAGTAATGGTAATCAGTGTTTCTTACATTTCCATCTTAAGTGTCAGTGACCATCACAGAGTTGGGTGCTAAGGGAAGATTTCCGCAAAGATGACACTCTGTGGATTCAGCTGATCTGGCTATAGAAACAGGGATGGCCGCTGGCCACAGGGGGTTCAGTCTGCCCCTCTCATGGTCTGCCTCATATGACTGTCCCACCCGCCTCTGACCCTCACTTCTTCCTTCTAATCCCTGTGACCTCTGAACAAAGAAAGAGGTGAATGACTTTCAGCCTGCAAGTATGGGATAGAATATGTATGGCTCTTTACACTGACGACATCTGAAGTGACGCAGTGGCAGTAACACTCGGCTCAAACACAGCAATGATTGTGAGGATGGCCACAGGACTGGACAGTGTTTTGGGTTTTTGTACCGAGGTTCCCTATAACCCGATGGCGCCTAGTAACACCTCCAACCAAGGCGAGTGCTGGAGGGCTTCTCGGTGCTGCAAATGCAGACTGCTATAGTGTCACCATCCTTGTGTATGGCTCCCACCTGCCCTGAAAACTCACTTACTACCTCTGGGCACCCTGGAGCCACAGCAGGGATTTTTGTTACACCAGAGCATGATGCTAATCACCCTGATTTAAAGTCACTGGAGGCAGAGAGAGCCAAACTGCCTGGTGTCCTCTTCAGACTTAATGATGGTTAGTCTGTTGTTCCAGACTGACCCAGCATGTCACCCTGGATAGGATCCTGAAGTGGACATAGCCCAAGTTTGCCAGGGTGACCCCAAGAGGGCACTTAGGGACTCCAGACTCCTCCACTAGCATACAGACCTACAGATGCTTCCTGTGTTTAGAAAAGGAAGCAACAGTATTGATAGAAATTGAAGTTTCTATCTGGTTTTATAATGTCTTTTAAATGGTAAATGTAATTTTTTAATTATGTCAAGAGAATCCCCAAGGCTTTGGTCTGACCTGATGGAGGCACTTAAGAGCAATAGTGACAGGTTGGTAGGAGTCCATAGGAATGCAGGAGGTTAAGTGCTATGCAGCTAACCAAAAGGTGGATGGTTTGAATCCTCTCAGAGGTGTCCTGGAAGCCAGGCCTGAAGTCACCACCAGTCAGTCTGGACAACAACTTTTTTTTTCCATTTTTTTCCATGGCAAGTGAGAGAAGTGTGGAAGAATATGCCTTTTAACACAGTAACATTTTACGATATCCTGATGATGTTTTTTTGTTTAAGGAAGGTATGTTGAATTCGGAAGAATAGTTCTGGGTGTGGAGGAACCAGTGATGTAAGTTAAAGTGAGTGTGAAAGTGTAACATGAATGGAGCAGCAGGTCTTATTAAGTTATTCACTAGAGAACCAACTAGAGTTTTTTCCTAAACTTTTTATTGCCTCCAGTAAAATTGCTTTGCTGAAAGTTGCAGGAAAGGAAGGCAACATGGATCACTTAAGTAAATATAGGGATCAAGAGATGGAAATCCTTAGGGTATTTGTGTTCGTTTAAGAGGTGGAAGCAGTGACTTAAAATTCACTGGTAAAAAACAAACATTCCTAAGTATATCTGGACGATACGTTTCCTAATGAAAGAGTTTTCCCTCCCCTCAGTCTTTTAAATTATGTTTTTCCTGTAGTAAGAATGATTTGATTTGTATTTTAAAGAGAAAGTTGTTTTCTTTTGAATCTAGAACTTTTTGAACTTTTTCCTTAAAAACAAAATCTGTTTTCATGTGCTTCCTGTTTCTAACCTTATGAAATCCAGACTAGTCTAAGACAAAAATGAATTTTTAAAATTTTTCTTTGACATCTGTTCCATTCCATTTTGCTTTGTGACTTCTTCATTTAACAATAAATTATCTAAAAAAAGATGGTTCTCCTTCTTTATGCATCTTTTTAAAAATTAAAATTATGGTTGACTGAGAATAAAGGGAAAAATTAACTCCTCCTACTAGCACACTGATATAGAGAGATTAGGTAGATTAGTGGTAAAACGTTGGGTTATCAACCCAAAGGCAAGCAGTTCAAATTCACCAGCTGCCTCATAGGAGGAAGATAGACAGTCTCCTCCCATGGGATTAACTACCTCTAAAAGTCCACTGGAGGGTCAGCTATGAGTTTTGACTTAACAGTACTTAACAACAATAAGATAGTTTTAAGAGGCTCCATTTGCGGATTTAATGCATACACTTTCTAAGATTGATTTGCTTGAAAATGTATCTATGAACAAATATGCCAGACCCTACTTCTCCTTTGAAACTGCCACTTTCTCATTTACAGGACAAAAATAAAACACACCTCAGTCTAACCCATCCCTAATTTTATGGCAGTACTTTGTTCTGTGTTGGAAAACCTCCTGGAACCAGACAAGAGACCAATTAGAAACGGCACCATGAACCTCCCAACTTACTGAACGCGAATCATGTTAAGGGTAAAATAAGGTAGTAAGAAGCAAGGCGTGTTGGGATTTTCTCCATGCCAGTATCTATCTGTGGAGTATTGCAGTGGCTGAAAAATACCTTTTTTTTAACACACCTTTTCCTCCTTAACCAATCATCTCCCTTGGGAGAAAAGCCCTTGGGGTAAAGCCAAGAAACAAAGCAATGAGAAACAATTTCAAGTGTCATCCTATTATCTGTCTGTCTTTATGTCTTTAGTTATGATTCACAGATAAATATGCCCAGAAATCCATGTTACTATTTCCATAAATGAAACAAAAAGGTTCCTAATAGAAACTAAGTCTTATTGAGCTGATTGGTAGGACAGTAGGTCTAGCCTTGCCCATTACACGAGACGGTAAAACTCTCCCATAAAATGAATGAGCCAATCAGCAGCCCCAAGGCTTTAATGGGAACTTTTAACAATAAGATTAAGTTTATAGAGAGAAGCAAAATTGTGTTGGAATTAACAATATTTGCAATTCCCTTGTTTTCTTTATCGGATTAAGCTGGCACGCTAAAAAATAAAGTAGTAAATGAAATTAAATTAATAGTCATATGATAAATCTCAGCCTATTTGGCATATTTCCCCACAGTTTAAAAAGCAATAACTATATTGGTTAGTGCCAAATTCTCTTGCAAAGACTGCCTCTTTCTTAGTTAAATTATGATCATTTTATTTTGGACTTAATCCTGGTTAATTCTGATCACTATCAAGTGGTTCCCAAAATGCTTTCTGAGAAATAGCTTTACATTTTGAATACAAAATCAGTCTCTTGGATCACGTATGTAGGGAAATGAAAAGCTAGTGCTAAGAATAAGTATTGCAGGGCCTCTTGGAAACTTTGCATGAATCAGTTTTTGTTGTGTAGTGCCTAACCACAAACTTGCAGTGGGCTACAGTAGGAAGCACTTATTTCTTGCTCATTGGTCTATATAAGAGCAGCTGGGGAAGCTTTAGTGGCTGGACTGAAACAGGCTGGAGAAGTGACCTGGGACATATTCTTCTCATGGCAGAGGTCCAAACAGGAGGACTAAGTGGAGTCATCCAGCAATTCTCAGTGTTTACACTAAGAACTGGCACCCTCTTCCTTCTGCCCAGATTCCATTGGCCAAAGCAAGTTACATGGCCAAGTTCAACATCAATGGTGCTCATTACTCTTTTTGCCATAGAGTCAGCTCCAATGCATAGCTGATCCTTCAGCAGGTTTTCAGAGGCTGTAAATCTCAGGAGAGGAGGTTACTCATCTTTCTCCCATGGAGCAGCTGGTAGATT